AGGGTTGCCTGTCTGAATTTGCTCCTGGGGTGAACTGACTGCCTCTGGTGGGCTCCTGCAAGCCCCTCGTGGAGGGTCCTTTTCCAGACTGCTCCTGCAGGATCTGTGCCCTGAGGGGTATGGCAGCAAACCATGGAGGCAGACGTTCTGTCCCGAGGGAGCAGGGGGAGCTTTGGCTCTGTCTGTCTGTCACTGGGATATGCACAGAGTCACCCCTCTCTCTGGCCCAGAGCCTCCCACTGGACCATGCCACCCGGCCCTTTCCATGTGATCCCCACCAGGAGAGGGGCCTCTCAGCCCTCAGCCCCGGATTCCGCCGATCCACTTCTCCCCTCGGATCCCACATTGTCCGGGACTGTCAGTCCCTGTTCCTACTTGCCTTGTCTCCTCCACTCCCAGAGCACAGCCAGACTCTGCAGCCCCTCCCTCCACACCTGCCATGTGGCCCCTTCCTCTCTGGCTCCTCCCTCTGACGGCCCTCTCTCAGGATCAGAGGCTGAAGACATGAAAACAATTGTCTGAGCTCAGATGCCAGGGCCCTGAGAGGGCCTCTCCACTAGGGCTACCCCCAGGCCCCAGAGGTTCCTCAGGCCAGAGAGCAGAGGCCCATCGTGTTGCGTTCTCCCACCCCTTCCACAGCAAGAGCCCCAGGGAGACCGTGAGGGTCAGGAGAAGGTCAGATCCAAAATGGGAGATAAGGTCCCCTCTCAGGGGGAAGGTGACCTGGCCTGGGATTGGCAGAGGCTCCTGGGAACAAGATGCATGGCTTGGCCACAAGGTCATTAAGGATGATCTTTCTGAAAAACAAAGCTCAGGAAGAGATGCTTGCTTAGCTACTTTCTACTTCTGTCCATCAGAGCGCAGAGGGTCCCCAGTCCACGTAAAAGAACCCGGAGGGGGCTCAGCCCCCTGGAGAGCCAACAACCCAAAGAAAGGAGAGCATTCTATTCGGACCAACCAGAGGAGGTTGGAGACAAGGCCAGCTGGGCCCAGAGGCCTGGAAGGTCCCCAGGTGTGGCAGTGGTCCACCCACCACCACCA